ATTCCCCCGAAGAAACATTCCCCCGCTAAACATATCGTTTGTCGGATCATATGGCTTTGATATCCAGTCACTTGTTATTTCGTACGATTAGCTCCGGTCAGTTCTCACCTAATTTAATCCTTTATTTATACCAAGCTTATATATAATACCCCCATTAAACCCGAGGCGGGGCGGGGGGGGGGCGCTTTTTGTCAAAACAGGCATCAGTGACCTCGTCACATTTTTTTAAACTTCAGATCGAATTCTGAGATAACATTAACTAATTCGTTACCTAAAGTCGACGAAAATTCAACAAGGCCAAATTTAATGATAATTCAATATAATTTAAGGGCACGTGAAAATTATCGCAATCAATGACAATCACACCTAAGTTGATACAGGTGATATGGTTATTAGGAAGATTGCACGGTCAATTTATTTCTAATTAACGCGAGGTAAGTATATATATATATTTAGAGCATTTCCGTATCTAATTACACCCCCATTAATAATGTAGTACCTATTTTTTTTCTATCACACTGCCTACAAATTACGATACAGCGGTCCAGCAAATTACTTAACGCTTAGGCAAACAGGTTACTTGTAGAAAACCTTGTAACTGACTTTACTTGGTATAAAGTTAATGCTGCTTGTTTATTTGTTTACAAGCGAAACGTTATTAAACTTATCAATGACACATGTCAACTCTCTTGTAAACATAATCGTGTATAATTACAGTCAATAATTCACTAAATTAGAAAAAGAAGACATGGTTTCAATTTCGAACAATGAAATATCAAAATGATTTAGATTTTGAATAATTTCTGAGTAATTGTCACAATTATTGTGTCATTACAAGTCCAAAGAACCCACGCACGCGTGTTAATAGTTTGTTAAAAAATACATTGAGACAAGTTTGGGGTATTTTTTTTTTTTGCTTTTGGAACACATTCTAAATGGAGCGATACAGGGGTACTGCGAATTAGCCGGTTTCTTGTTTAATTATGTTTTAAATACGTTTTCACTCCCAAAAGATGAAGAAGTGAATTGAATCAGACACAAATTATTTCAACTTCTCGAGCACCCCACTCTCAAAATATAATATAGGACATGAACACGTACAACATACACAGTATATATGGGCGGCACTTACAATTTAAAGATGTTATTATACAATCAAAATGAATAACCTGACATTATGTTATAATGTATATGTATGACATATGCCGTTTGGATGGTAATGGTTGGTGGAGCCACAATAATGGTAGGCAGACGATTTTACTTAAATATATATCACCGACATATAACTGGCTCCATTACAACAAAAGGTTTGTAGTTTATTCTGTTATATCACATTTGAGTCTCGGAAATTGATCAGACATGCTTATTTGTGTGTAAAACGTAACAACAGTATGATGAAAAGCACATTACATCCGGTAAGTTGTTCATTCGTGGTTGTAACGTCAATATCATAGTCTATATAGATAGATCATTCAATATCTTCTTTAACAGTGAAAACAGCTATTATGATTTTTCTAGAATTATTTAAAGGATGACCGGTGTCCTAATTTCGGTCAGGCCTCGAACTGGACCACGCCCACATTTGACCAGTTGTACCCGGGACCTTGTCATTTGATCGGTCATTACAGGTATATTGGTAGGGTAATAGTCAAATTAGCAATGTACCACCCAATCATTACACCTAGGTAACGCCGCCCCGTCAAGGTAAGACATCATCCATTAACAGATAAGTTAAATCTACCCACGGGCAGGTTGAACCCATAGCGTCCATCCTTGTAGTGAACTCCTTTCTAAATCAGCATGCCATGACACCAGCTTTGGCATTAGCACAGTTAATTTACATGTTTAATTGGTATTTTGAAGTTTTCTTTCCTAACATGATATTCGACATAATCACCACCATTGAAGACATAAAATGTCTCATCTATTTTGATAAACGGGCGTTTTTATAGACACTGAAAAGACCATCTAAAATAAAAGTACAAAACCTCATTGATAAAGAGGTGAAGGGATGGGTTTTTGAACTCCAAGTCTACATGTCTGTTTCTTCTGAAATACTGGTAGTCCAGGTTGACTGTAGGAGCATTGGCAAAACTTGACGAAGAAAGCTGTGTCAGAATATCATACACGTACAGAGGGAAATCTTTCCCCTGGTATCAAAGGAATAAGGACAAATTTGTAGAAATCTAATTTGGCAAAGGAATAAAGTCAATGTGTTGAATTAATGTATGGCTCCCATTCGCGTGAGTGAGAGTATAGGGCGTGTGTGTAGTAAAGTATGATGGGTAATTACACGAGTTATTGGTGGTGGGAAAGGTGGGAAAGGAGGGGGGGGGTTTAGCACATACAAGTACACTCCACAAGGGGGTTGAATAAATTTGACCTGTTCAGTTACGAATCAAGGAATTTTGTGCATTATGCATTATCAATTAACATTTCCGCATACAATAGGAACAAGGGGCACATTCAATGAGAAAATATTGGTAAATATTTTAAAGACTATTCCTTAAGAATATGTAAGTATCTTCAAACCTAATTTGACATGAGCCATCCCCAGACGTATTAATTCAATATAGTACGCGTGGACATGTCACCGAGAGGGTTAACAGGAATGAAATGGCCCAAAAGGGACTATAGGAAATATATTAATAGATAAATCAAGGCTCACGTTAAGAAAATCTGACCTCATTCTCACACGGACCATCCCTGGATAAGGAACTAAATTTTGTATATAGTAGATTAAGTTAGTACCTTAAGGGTTCAAGAAGTGTGGATAACACGATTGAGGCACGGGTGAGGTTAGTGTTTTAGTGGCTGGGTACAAAGTGTATGTCTTAGACGTACATTGTAGACTGTCAGATGTTGTCCATATATTTCATGTTGCTCCGCTGGGGCCGTCCCAACAGAAAACCGGAAGATATAATATAGATGGGTGAAGCACAAATCTCCAGTTCGGATAAGCAAGTAGAAACACCATCGGTTTCCGCTCTGATATTTTTCTTTTGCCTTTTTATTATCTAAGACACTTTCGAATTTTTCATCATAACTTCCACGGTTTCGTGTCGGCGGATGTAGCAATTTGTTTGTTGACTTTGTGAACAGTCAGTGTTGTTTTGAGGTATGAAATAGTATCTCCCTTACTGAACAACATACGGGAGGCACGTTACATGCCATCTAGAGCAGCTGTGGTAGTGATTGATCTTGATCTAGGACGCAACCGCAAGAACGCATTCCATGGTCTCAACTTCTAGCAGAACACAATCAGTAGGATCGAGCTACACAGCTTGAACCTTCACAAGAGGTTACAAAGCTTGGCCCCGCTTGCTGTCTATATCAGGTAGTAAAATTATACATTTGAACGACACAGTCCTTTTGTGCCTTTTGTCAGTATTGTTGTAATCATCAAACCGTCTAAGCGAATTGCATTGTATCTTAGACTTGTTGTCCTTCCCAATAAGTATTTAATCCTGTTGTCCTTCAAATAAGTATTTAATCCTGTTGTCCTTCCCAATAAGTTTATTAATCCTGTTGTCCTTCCCAATAAGTATTTAATCCTGTTGTCCTTCAAATAAGTATTTAATCCTGTTGTCCTTCCCAATAAGTATTTTATCCCGTTGTCCTTCCCAATAAGTATTTAATCCTGTTGTCCTTCAAATAAGTATTTAATCCTGTTGTCCTTCCCAATAAGTTTATTAATCCTGTTGTCCTTCCCAATAAGTATTTAATCCTGTTGTCCTTCAAATAAGTATTTAATCCTGTTGTCCTTCCCAATAAGTATTTTATCCCGTTGTCCTTCCCAATAAGTATTTAATCCTGTTGTCCTTCCCAATAAGTATTTAATCCTATTGTCCTTCCCAATAAGTTTATTAATCCTGTATTTAATCCTGTTGTCCTTCCCAATAAGTATTTAATCCTATTGTCCTTCCCAATAAGTTTATTAATCCTGTTGTCCTTCCCAATAAGTATTTAATCCTGTTGTCCTTCCCAATAAGTATTTAATCCTGTTGTCCTTTCCAATAAGTATTTAATCCTTTTGTCCTTTCCAATAAGTTTATTAATCCTGTTGTCCTTTCCAATAAGTATTTAATCCTGTTGTCATTCCCAATAAGTATTTAATCCTGTTGTCCTTCCCAATAAGTATTTAATCCTGTTGTCCTTCCCAATAAGTTTATTAATCCTGTTGTCATTCCCAATAAGTTTATTAATCCTGTTGTCTTTCCCAATAAGTTTATTAATCCTGTTGTCCTTTCCAGTAAGTCTTTTAATACTGTTGTCCTTCAAATAAGTATAGAAATAAGGGATTTGCTTACACCAACGATACCGTTACAAACGAGAAAACAGCATCGTTCGATTTTGGCAATTCATAACTTCAAATTTTATATGATATTAAGACTTGTACTTTACATTACACCACAAGAAAATTCTGAAAGCGGTTTTGAGTCAAATGATGAATTGTGGTCTCCACTTAGTGTTTCAGTTTATGTCTTCTTTTGTTATTGAAAAATGTCATTTTGTCATCGTTCGTGTTGAAAGTTATTGTTTGTCACTTCCATGACATGGCACACCCAAACCAATATAAACATCATTTTCTTCTGTTATCTAACAATTGTTGCGGCCCTATGGGAGTTCCGTGTCCTACTGATAGCAAACAACAATAATTAAAATGATTTAAGATTGATTGGCTTCGTACATCACCATACATCAACGAAAACATTGTCATAAAATTCGACAAGTTTTGTGTTCCAGATATCAGACCGTAAATACCATCAAAAACACTCTCTTGCTTTCTTCCCAGAATAACAATGGTATATTCAGTATTTTGAATAATACTTTAATTTTCACTATTGAAACCTAGGCAATCTGGACTGTTTGATATTCCTACTCGAACAAAACATCTAAGATGAAATCTGTTCCATGTAAAATATATGTAAATCCATGTGTGGTATCAGATGCAAAGGTTGAGTGGAGGAAGCAGGAGAGGACGGGGAGGGGACGCAGACATGGATAGGAGGGGAGGGGAAGAGGGAAGGGGTGGAGGAGGGAGGGGACGGGGTGGGAACACAGAGATTTGGAAGAGGGAAGGGGGTGGAGAAGGGAGGGGACGGGGCGGGGACACAGAGATTGGGGGAGGGGACGAGTTGGAGACGCAGAGATTAGGAGAGGATGAGAGGACGGGGAAGGGACGCAGAGATTGTGGAGGGGAGGGAACGCAGAGATTGGGACGCAGAGATGGGGGGAGGGGAGGGGACGCAGAGATGGGGAGGAGAGGAGGGGATGCAGAGATTGGGAGGAGGGGAGGGGGATGGAGGAGGGAGAGGACGAGAAGGGGACAAAGAGATTGGGAGAAGGCGGGATGGAGGAGGGAGAGGACGGGGTGGGGACACAGAGATGAGGAAGAGGGGATGGGGTGGAGGAGGGAAAAGACGGGGAGGGGCCGAAGAGATAGGGAGAAGGGGAGCGGGGTGAAGGAAGGAGAGGACGGGGAGGGGACGAAGAGATGGGGGGAGGGGACGGGGAGGGGACGGGGAGGGGACGCAGTGAGTAGGGAAGGGGGAGAGGACGGGGAGGGGACAAAGAGATGGGGAGGAGGGGAGGGAGTGGAGGAGGGAGAGGACGGGGTGTGGACGCAGAGATGAGGAGAGGATGAGAAGACGGGGAGGGGACGCAGAGATCGGGAGGAGGGGAGCGGGGTGGAGGAAGGAGAGGACGGGGAGGGTTCGAAGAGACGGGGGGGGGGATTGGAGGAAGGAGAGGACGGGGAAATGGACGAAAAGATGGGTAGGAGGTTGAGGGGGTGGAGGAAGGAGAGGACGGGGAGAGGACGGGGAGGGGACAAAGAGATGGGAAGGAGGGGAGGGAGTGGAGGAGGGAGAGGACGGGGTGTGGACGCAGAGATGAGGAGAGGAGAGAAGACGGGGAGGGGACGCAGAGATCGGGAGGAGGGGAGCGGGGTGGAGGAAGGAGAGGACGGGGAGGGTTCGAAGAGACGGGGGGGAGGGGATTGGAGGAAGGAGAGGACGGGGAAATGGACGAAAAGATGGGTAGGAGGTTGAGGGGGTGGAGGAAGGAGAGGACGGGGAGAGGACGGGGAGGGGACAAAGAGATGGGAAGGAGGGGAGGGAGTGGAGGAGGGAGAGGACGAGTTGGGGACGCAGAGATTAGGAGAGGATGAGAGGACGGGGAGGGGACGCAGAGTCGGGTAGGGGAGGGAGAGGAGGGGAAGGGACGCAGAGATTGGGAGGAGGGGAGGGGACGCAGACTGGGGGAGTAGGGGAGGGAGAGGAGGAGGGAGAGGACGAGTTGGGGACGCAAAGATTAGGAGAGGATGAGAGGACGGGGAGGGGACGCAGAGATCGGGTAGGGGAGGGAGAGGAGGGGAGGGGACGCAGAGATTGGGAGGAGGGGAGGGGACGCAGACATGGGGAGGAGGGGAGGGAGAGGAGGGGAGGGGACGCAGAGATTGGGAGGATGGGACGTAGAGATGGGGAGGAGAGGAGGGGAAGCAGAGATTGGGAGGAGGGGAGGGGGATGTAGAAAGGAGAGGACGGGGTGGAGTCATAGAGATTGGGTGAAGGGGAGCGAGGTTTAAGAAGGAGAGGACGGGGAGGGGTCGAAGAATTTGGGAGGAGGGGGAGGGGGTGGAGGAAGAAGAGGACGGGGAGGGGACCGGGAGGGGAGGAAGAGGTGGGGAAGGAGGAAGGGAGAAGAGGGGAAGGGACGAGAGATGGGGAGGAGGGGAGGGGTGGAGGAAGGAGAGGACGGGGAGTGGACGAAGAGATGGGGAGGAGGGGGAGGGGATGGAGGAAGGAGAGGACGGGGAGGGGACGGGAAGTGGAGGAAGAGGTGGGGAGGAGGAAGGGAGAAGAGGGGAAGGGACGAAGAGATGGGGAGGAGGGGAGGGGTGGAGGACGGAGAGGACGAGGAGGGGACGAAGAGATGGGAAGGAAGGGGAGGGGGTTGAGGAAGGAGTGGACAGGGAGGGGACGGGGAGGGGCCAGGGAGGGGACGAAAAGATGGGGAGGAGGAAGGGAGAAGAGGGAAGGGGAAGCAGAGATGGGGAGAAAGGGAGGGGACGCAGAGATGGGGAGGAGGGGAGGGGGAGAGGAGGGAAGGGGACGTAGAGATAGGGAGGAGGGGAGGGTGTGAAGGAGGGAGAAGACGGGATGGGGACACAGAGATTGGGGGAAGGGATAGGACGGGGAGGGGACGCAGATATTAGGGGAGGGGGAGAGGACGAGAAAGGTACAAAGGGATGGGGAAGGACAGAGGAGGGAGAGGAGGGGAGGGTTGGAGGAGGGTAAGAACTCTAGAGGGGATATGCATGTTCCGCTTCAGAACTGAGTTGTCTTGTGTGAGGTTCCTTGTTGAACACAATATTCCTGGCCGGCTAAGCTTCACACTAAGTTGTATATCTGTGGTTCTTGTATTTTGTTTTACATATTGTCATTTGCGAATGGTACATTTTTGGAATCCTGTGTCGACATTCGAATACTTACCTACGAGGCCATCGTGTGGAAATTATCATCTTGAATTCTTGGACACATCTAAAAATTATCAATATAATATAGTGGTTTATATCCTGGATTTAAAAGGCGTGCTTTATTGATCAATAAGGATTAACTGGAATAAACAGTTCGTTAGTTAATTGGTTGGTTGGTAAGTAGTTAGTTTGTTAGTTAGTCAGCTAGTTAGTCAGTAAATTAGTTAATTAGTTAGTTAGTACGTAAGTTAGTTAATTAGTTAGTTATCTAATTAGTTAATTAATTAATTAGGTAGTTGGTTAGTCAGTCAGTCAATCAGTCAGTTAATTAATTAATTAGTGAGTTAGTTAGTTAGTTAGTTAGTCAGTCTGTCATTCAGTCAGTTAGTCAGTCAGTCAGTCAGTCAGTCAGTCAGTCAGTCAGTCAGTCAGTCAGTCAGTTAATTAGTGAGTTAGTTAGTTAGTCAGTCAGTCTGTCATTCAGTCAGTTAGTCAGTCAGTCAGTCAGTCAGTCAGTCAGTTAATTAATTAATTAGTGAGTGAGTGAGTTAGTTAGTTAGTTAGTCAGTCTGTCATTCAGTCAGTTAATTAATTAATTAGTGAGTTAGTTAGTTAGTTAGTTAGTTAGTCAGTCAGTCAGTCAGTCAGTCAGTTAATTAATAAATTAGTGAGTTAGTTAGTTAGTTAGTTAGTCAGTCAGTCTGTCATTCAGTCAGTTAGTCAGTCAGTCAGTCAGTCAGTTAATTAATTAATTAGTGAGTGAGTGAGTTAGTTAGTTAGTTAGTCAGTCTGTCATTCAGTCAGTTAGTCAGTCAGTCAGTCAGTCAGTCAGTCAGTTAAATAGTTAGTCAGTCAGTCAGTCAGTAAGTTAAATAGTTAGTTAGTCAGTCAGTCAGTAAGTTAAATAGTTAGTCAGTCAGTCAGTCAGTAAGTTAAATAGTTAGTCAGTCAGTCAGTCAGTAAGTTAAATAGTTAGTTAGTCAGTCAGTAAGTTAAATAATTAGTCAGTCAGTCAGTAAGTTAAATAGTTAGTCAGTCAGTAAGTTAAATAGTTAGTCAGTCAGTCAGTAAGTTAAATAGTTAGTCAGTCAGTCAGTAAGTTAAATAGTTAGTCAGTCAGTCAGTCAGTAAGTTAAATAGTTAGTCAGTCAGTCAGTCAGTAAGTTAAATAGTTAGTCAGTCAGTCAGTCAGTAAGTTAAATAGTTAGTCAGTCAGTCAGTCAGTCAGTAAGTTAAATAGTTAGTCAGTCAGTCAGTCAGTAAGTTAAATAGTTAGTCAGTCAGTCAGTCAGTCAGTTAAATAGTTAGTCAGTCAGTCAGTCAGTAAGTTAAATAGTTAGTCAGTCAGTCAGTAAGTTAAATAGTTAGTCAGTCAGTCAGTCAGTAAGTCAGTAAGTTAAATAGTTAGTCAGTCAGTCAGTATGTTAAATAGTTAGTCAGTCAGTCAGTCAGTCAGTCAGTCAGTTAAATAGTTAGTCAGTCAGTCAGTCAGTAAGTTAAATAGTTAGTCAGTAAGTTAAATAGTTAGTCAGTCAGTCAGTCAGTCAGTAAGTTAAATAGTTAGTTAGTCAGTCAGTCAGTAAGTTAAATAGTTAGTTAGTCAGTCAGTCAGTAAGTTAAATAGTTAGTTAGTTGATTAGTTAGGATTTGTTTTGTTTTCATTTTGACGGAGTTTAACGTCCTTGCAACAGCCAAGGTCACGAAGATGTGTGTCAAAGGATATATCAAGAGTGAAAGCGAAACACAGAAAGAATGAGCAAGTAAGAAAAGTTAGGAAAAGATCTTGATCCCAAGTTATACGATATGTAAACCCCCGCCCCTCCTACGCGAGTGATTGTTCATATCAAGGTTAGAAAAAAAACAAAAAACAAGGTTGTATCAAGGTGAATGTTAGACCTCCTAAAAAGTGTAGAAAGATAAGCAGGGATAAGTCAATCAAATTAAATAACACGATGCAATGATAACACGGAGGCAGCGGATATAGATACATTTTTAACTTAAATAGAAAAAATTGTGTAGTAGACTTTCATTTAGTCATAGGGAACGGGATTACTTGTAAAACGGCAATCGAGATCAAATGTATCAAAAAAACCTAAGAATTCAGTCAGCTACTGTTACGCTTGTTATGTTTTATACTTTCTCACTTAAACAAATAAAATTATATAAAGTGAAATATTGCTCTACAGATTGCAGTAATACAAGCATATTTGGTGATCAAAGAGCATTAACAGGGTAAGATCTAGCGTCAAAGAATTGTTCAGAATTCCAAGAATCTGTCTGTATGAGCGTCTGCTTTGGTTTATGAGTTTAACATTTCATACTCTTGTGATATGTAAACGCATCGATTCATGCTAATTCGATAGAAACTTTGGCAGTGATGTTGTTTGTTTTTACATACTACCGCAATGCGCCAGTATCGACCTTTTTGTTCAATTTGTTCGGCGTCGAACTGTCCATTCGTCCGTGACATCCGAAAGAGAGCTCCTTGGCGAATACCGTCTATAATTGGTAGCTACTGCGATAATTTTGACAGATGACAGAGTCTTATATCTGTTTGGAAGAATTATTTACACTATAACATACATTTAACAAACTGCAAACCCACTAGTAAATCAAAATTACAATTCATAAAAGCAAATCTTAATGTTTGAAATTTAATACCATTTAAAATAGCATGTCAATAATTGAATGATAAGTGCCTTTTTTTCTTTCTTTTTTTTTAATCAAATCTTTTGATTTTTACAAAATTTATTTTCATATATTGGGTATTACACAATCTTTTTCACGTGAAAACCACAAAAAAGAGTATCATGCAATATTGTAAGACAACATTAAATAGTATTTCCGGTATCGAAAATGGGAGAGCGCTATATATAAAGGGAAAGGTCAGGAAACAAATGGATGGGATGGGGAGGGGGTATGTAGAGAATGACATACTTACGGTTTAGTTGTAAAATTACTCCTACTAATGAAACACAATTGTTTAAGAAAGATAAAATCATTTGGGAATTTTGAAATTTCACAGCAAGATTTTTTAACATTTCAGTTTTTCTTAGCTACTGTAAGACGCACGATGTGTGTAAGAAGAGAGTCCCATGACATGATGTTGCCGATATTGTCCTACGGAAACTATGGATATTGTTTATTTGTTTATTT